TTACCACAACCTCAAAAATGGAGATATGGTATAAATAAATACCTTATAAATACAAAGCTAGTTATTAATTTTGTATGAATTATAAGATTATTCATCAATTGTTTTAGTTTTTAAAATCATATTCAAATTTTATTTGACATTTTATATTATTATAATTTTATAATGTGTAATAAAATATAATTTAAATATATTTTTAGTCTAATCAAAATGAAAAAATTTTGATTTTAATCTTTATATTTTTTTTATTCTTCTAAAAATTGTAAATATTTTTTATCCTTAAAAAATATTTTTAGACTCTAAAAATGAGTAAATTTTTCTTTAATTTGGTTATTGTAAAATTATTTTTTCTTTGATTTTTATCCTTATAAAAGTCTAAAATTATTATTTTTTATCTTATCAATGATTTTAAAGTGTATAAGTGACATTTATTTTAAGAACCTGTGAAACGTTTTAGGATGTGTCACAAATTCACAATAGTATATATCACTCTATCTATTATAAGTAGCATCAAAGATAATCACTTGACCATTTTTTAAATAAATAAATAGTTAAAAATAATTACATAATGATGAATATTAAAAGTAATAATTATAAATCTTATAACGATGAAAAAAATATAAAAGCTAAAAACATATATAAGTCATAAATAATATAAAAGTAACAATAAAAAAATAAATTAATAGTATTATAAAATATATAAAAATGATAAATTGACAAAAAACCAAAAATATATAGAATTACACATGGGAATTTTTTACCATAACAAATTTAAATTCGTTATTCACTTGAAACAATTACTTGAAGTTTCTAAATAGATATAAAAATGATGAAAAAGAGAAAGAAAAAAAAATAATTAAAAAATTTGAGGTCAATTATTTATTTGTAAAGTGTATATAGAAAAATAAATTAATAACATTTTTTTGGGACATATACTAAATAGCATGACATTTCAAAATCAACATTATTCTAAATTAATTATCATAATTATTAGCAAAAAGTTTAATATCTTCAAACTTTAATGTCTTTTAATATCCTAATTAATATGAGTTTGAAGAACAAACTCAATCAACTACATAATTAAAGTTTGGAAAATAAGATATATCTCTATTCAAATTATTAAACCATAAATATGTAATTTTTTTCATACAAATCATGTAATTTATTATGAGACTTATAACAAGTGGCTATATGGTGTTGCGTGTTACACGACCCTTATTATACTCGGAAATGTTATCCCATAGACATGTTTGGTTGACATATATTAATTTTATAAAAAAAATTATTTTTTAATTGATAAAAAAATGTAAATGAATGAAGAAATATGGAATAATAAGAGGTAGTTGTTAAAATAATAACTTTTATTTTCACGGTAATATAAGATATACATCCTTATCCATATGAATGAGAAACATGTATCACCATAATATAAGATATACATCTTTATCCATACTAGTGGGGTCGAGACACTTCGTGCCTCGATTAAAAATAAAATAAAAATAAAATAAAATAATAAAAATGTATTGATCTAATTGGTATTATGATTAATCCATTAGATTCAAGTTCTTAAATTTGATTAAAAAATATTTTTTCTAATTTTTTAAAATAAAATGGTATAGGTAAAAAAAAAGTGGAGACCAAAAAACTATAAAAAATGATATTCTACTATAAAACATTATTGAGTGTTACTTAATATTATCACTACTTTCCTTTTAAGTTTTAACACTGTAATCATTAACGAGTGTCACTTTAAAATAGACTCCAAAAAACTATAATTTTAAAATAATGAAAACAAATAATTTATATTATAAAAATCAAAAACATATTTGATAATTTTTATTGTAATATCTTTGTAGATATTTTACACTTCAAAGACACTTACCTAAAATGAGTTTTTATAGGTATTGATTATTAATTATTACCTTTGTGACAAGAAAATGTACTAATTAAATATTAAAGTTTTATTGTGTAAGTACTTTTTCTCCATATAAATAAATTATTAAAAAATATATCAATTTGAATAAATGATTAAATTAGTGATATTTTTATTCATATATGTTAAAATAATTTATAGTGATATTATTTAGTATCTATAATGATTAATAAAAAAAAGTATTTTTTATACATTTTTTCTCATTATATGTAATAAGAATGTTAAAAGTAACTTGTTACTATCAACAAGTCATTGCTTTAAGAGGTATTAAACTCAGGTTTTCTTGAATAAAATCTTGGGTTCAAATCTTGTGTATAGAAAAAGTTTAATTTAGATAAACGACTTCACTAAAAATGATCAATTAGATTTTTTAAAATAATTTATTACAAAAAAAAAAAAAAAAAGTAACATTGTTAGTGACAGGCCTTTGATCAAAGTTTTTAATGTTAGGCAGAGAGTTATCTAGCCCAGTTTGGTTGAATGACTATGTATAAGTTTGTTTTGAGTTTATTGTTACTCGCCTTAAGATTTTATTACTTTTAATGAGGTTTTGGGTTGTCATCTTGGTGTGAAGCCCAAGTGACTTGTTTTATATTCTAAAAACTTTGTTCCAATGGAGTGTGGTGATAATTCAAAATGTTTTTTTTTGTAGTTATGATATTAATATGAAGTATTCACCATTGGAAGTAGTGATTAATCTTCGTTGAGGATCATGAGTGCCCACAAGGTATGTATTCCCCTTCTAACATAGTTTATTTCACACACAAGACCAAGATTCGAACCTTAAACAACTTGTTTAATAGACACAAGTCACTACCATTTATGCAAACTAATGTTGATTAAATGTAAATTGTTCTCAGCATTTTCTTTCATAGAGTAAGTTTGTCCTATAACTTTTTATTATTGGTACTTTCATGTTCATTTACCATGGCTCCCAAAGTAAGTTGGGATTTCAGTCCCAAAGTTGTGTGTGACCCTGATGATTCGATTTTTGCCCTTATTGAATAAATCAAGGCTCTCCAAACCCAAATCAATAATCATAACCAACTTTATGATACACGCCATGAGTCACTCACCTTGCTTATGTCTACACTAATGGATCACCTCATCCAGTCATTAGTGGGTTTGCAACCCTCGTCATTTTTTCCAAGCTTAATTTATCTATTGTCCAACCCATTATGGTCTCAATACCACCCCCAATATTGTTCCATTAGATGCCTTTTGAGTACATTGGACCTTTCCATTTTTCACCTCCATTTTTTTCCTATAAGTTATGATAATCATGGTCATATCACTTTTTTTTGTGCTACATCCACAACCCAAACCCTACCATTTGGACCTTCGTCCACACTTTCTTTGTCTATTATGCAAACTTCCCATTTTCAACTACTCAAACATTTCCATTGTTTAATATCCAAAACCTAATAACTCCATTTCATTATAACCCAGTCTTTGTGTTTTCAAATACATAAACCCTACCATTCTTTACTATCCAACCATTTCCTTTCTCGCTACTTAATAACACCTTTTTTTGGATCTAGCCAAAATACTTCCTATCACAATGCTTCCTACTATAATCCTTTTTTTACATGACTGTCGAAGTTTCACATGTTTACCATTTGATGGCCTTAAACCCCTTGATTAGTTGTTTCAGGATAAACAATATTTCATGTTTTACCAAGTATCGCGGGATCAATGACATTTTATATGATGGGAGAGGCCTTAAGTTGGTTCAAATGGATGTTCACAAATGATCAATTGGGCAATTGGTCTCATTTCATTTTCTCCTTAAAGTTGTGTTTTAGACCGTCAACTTATGCAAATCATTAGGCAAAGTTATCTAAGAGTAAAAAACTAGGTTAGTATCTGCTTATCAAGTCGCATTTGAAAAAAATGCAATCAAGTAGTTGGTTTAACCCTTCAAAATTTGTAAACTATTTAATTTTTGAATTAACTCCTATGATACAATGAGAGATGACCATTCTAAAACATTATTTTGTTACTTAGGCCATTAGTTTGACTAAGTTGGTCAAAGGTAAGTTTTAGGATTCTAAACCATACTTTACTCGTACTACCCATATTCATATACAATTTTATGTTCCTTGACTTATATCCAACACCAACACCCCCACACCCATAGTTTATAATACTTTACCAATAAAAAGTTATCTTCCCAATAGTTATAAGAATGTTGTGTGGCAAACACATGTTACAATTGTGATGAGAAGTACTATTTTTGCCATAAAATACATTGTAGTAAGTAACATACATGAATAAATTTGCTAAATATCCTCTAAAAATAATATAATACAGAAGAATAAAGTTTTTTTTATTACATAAAATTAAAGTATATTTTTTAACTTTTTTGTAATATCAAATCAACAATTTTGGTCTTTTAGTTTTTAAATATATAATTTTAATCTCTCAATTTTATAAAATTTATGATCTTGATCTTTTTAATATATATTCATTTATTAATCATTAAAATTATAATAATATTATATAAATAATAGAATAATTAATATTTAATTATATTTAATCTAAAACAATTTCACCCAATTTCATTTCATATGATCACTTTTAAATGATAAAGTTAAGAATTATATGTAAAATTTACCTCAAATATTATTAAATATTAATTATTATTTTATTTATTTAATTTCAAACTATAATTATAATTTTAATTATCGATAAATAAATATTTAGTAAGACAATTAAAAGTCCAAAATTATAACTATAATATTATAAATGACTAAAATTACGATTCAGTAAAAGAAGATAAACATTTACCGACGTTCTTGTTCTGTACGGTAATTATTGTAAGACAAACGATCGGATTCAAATGCTGGTAAAAAGAAAACGAAGACAAATATTTTTTTCAATGATTTTTAAACGTTTTAGAAAATAAAAGATCTGTTTTTTAACAGCACAATAAAAAATTAAAAAAATCTTAAAACCTAAATAAATTCACAAAATTCTAATTTATTTTAATTTTAAAAAGTAAAAGAAAAGAAGTCGGTGCATGAGTAAAAAAACGGAAAGTATTTATATTTAAACGGTTTTTGTGGTTCACGCATAACATACATAAACGCGAGAAAAAAGAAAAAAACTCTCCCGAAGGAAGAAAGAAAGAGATTGAGAAAACCTAGATGGATCAAGAACAGAAATTTCTTCAGTTTCGCAATGCGATATGATCGTGTTCCGCACTTGTGTTTAGTCTGATTTCGTTATTCTCCACTCCGCCTTCCCCGTCCTCTCGCCGTTGCCGGCGGCACCTCCCTCCTCACCGCCGCCGCGTAGTTCTTTGCATCGCAACCCTAATCATTGTCCGTAGGTGAAATCTGAGATTGACGAGCGATGGAGTTGGCACAACTATAAGCGATGTGTGAGAGGCTGTACAATTCACAAGACTCGGTGGAACGCGCTCACGCGGAGAACACACTGAAATGCTTCTCCATGAACACTGAATACATTTCCCAATGCCAATACATTCTTGATCATGCCTTGACCCCTTATGCATTGATGCTAGCGAGTTCTAGTTTGTTGAAACAAGTCACCGAACATAGCCTTGCCTTAAAGCTTCGCCTAGATATATGTATTCCTTCTCTTCATTTATCTTTTGCCCCTCTTTGGCGACTCAAAATGCTGGAATTCATAAAACTATTGTTAATGCATGTCAGGGACCTATCTCATAAACTATCTAGCGACCAGAGGACCCGGGTTACAGCCCTTTGTAACGGCTTCTTTGATCCAACTTTTGTGTCGAGTCACAAAGTTTGGATGGTTTGACGATGATCGATTCCGGGACCTGGTCAAAGAATCTATGAACTTCTTGAGTCAGGTGATGTAAAGCGGTTATTATATTGGCTTTACATTAGGAAAAAGTGATTGTTTAATTTGTATGCAGTAAGGTATCGAAGGATTATTTACTGGACTCAAAAAAATAAAAGGAATAAGTGCGTTTGTTTGCATTACGTTACAGCCACATCCTATCAAGACTGTCGAAGAGAAAAAAAAATAATAGGAGTCATACATATTTTGGTAAAATAATGTATCCTCTTTAGCACCCGGCAGTGAATTGTAAGCCCCATCCTAAAGTTTACTCGAAGTAGTAACCCTGTAACCCACTACTGATTTCTTCACCTTCTCAGATGTGTATTGATTGCGAAAATAACTGGTTATTCTTTATGTTATAATCTTTTATAACTTATTTGGTGTTCGATCCTGATCATTGTGTATGAAAAACATTTGCCGGAGGTGGTTAATCCCTTAAATGGATTTCAGTACCTTAGAGAATTAATC